GAGAGAGAGAGAGAGAGAGAGGAAGAATGTGAGCAGTGGCAAATGGTTGAATTTTATGTTTCAACGTCTGTGATGTTTATTTGATATCATAAATTAAAATTTACCCTGATTAAGGTTATGTGTATTTTGCAAATTAAGGTATAAAAAAAGAGTATTTTTCAGTGTCAAAGTTCAAAGTATAACCATAGCTTTGAAAGGAATGAAATAAATATTTAAATGCAAAATTGAATAAACCCCCCCCAAAATGATGTAATTAAATCCCATGACTATGGTTTTGTTTTGTTGTGCTTAGAATCACAACAGATATATCTTATTTTTAATGTTATAGCAGTATTAGGTAGTAATTTATGATAATGTAAGGATCAAACATTTGTATTGTTTAAATGTATGGTTTGGCAGTACAGCTCAGTAAATAGGTTTGAATGTGAAAATGACATTGATTTGGTGTCTCTCTGTGACAATGTTGTGCTCTGTTGTTATTGATTTTATTTATGTGACAGTCATTTGGACGTACTGTAATGATGAATAGATATTTTTTATTTTTCTCATTATTTATTTATTTATTTGTGAGATATTTATTCTGAAGTGCAATAAGTGTATCAGAGCTGTTCAGTAATAAAAATCAGTTACAGATATCTCACACTGTTTATTTTTCCTTTGCTTTAGAAGAAACAGTATCAGGTAAGGTGACATTACATATGGGGTAGTCTCTAAAACATAGAAGAAGATACAGGCTAATATGGCAAAAAGAAACACATAACCAGCATCATTCCATTACCATAATACCTGACTAATACCATAGAATAGAGCCCTTCCTTAGAAATTAATAGTTGCTCCCCTAGTAGAGAATTCCTCACCTTTTAAGGAAGCTGAGCTTTATTGTTGTATTGTATTGTATTCACATTGGTCCTTTTTCTGAACCAGACAAATTCAGTTAGCACACTCATATACTATTTCTTCAAGGAACATTTTAAAATTATCCCTCCCCCATATATACTACCTAGATTTCTAAAGTAGTCTCCCCTAAATTTTCTGACCAAACTAGATGCTACATGCCCTGCCAATTATATTCTCAGTTTCATCATTGCAGTAATGTTTGGTGTAGCATACAGACAACAGCCTACCTAAGTAGAAGAAATTTGTAACTAACTAACTTCATGGAACTGACTCCTTCTTGAGAAGCCACAAGTTCCTCAGCTACTCAAGAATTTCCAAACATTTTATGGAACCAAAAGGTTCATTACCATGCCTACAGGAGCCCTCCAGTAGTCTCTATCCTGAGCCAGATCAATCCCGTCCATACCATCCCATCCTATCTCTCTAAGATCCATTTTAATATTGTCCACCCACATATGTCTTAGTCTTCCTAATGATCTCTTTCCTTCTGGCTTTCCCACCAGTATCCTATGTGCATTCCTCCTCCCCCCATTCGTCTTACATGCACTGTCCATTTCATCCACCGTGATTTGATCTTTCTACTTACATTTGGAGAAGTGTGAAAGTTATGAAGTTCCTCATTATAGAGTTTTCTACAATCTCCCGTCATGGGGGTGCAGTTCGCATAGGCCAGTGCTGTGATAGCATACCACCTTACCGATCGAGCTCTCGGAGCTTGGAACCATTTTGTATATAGTTTATGCTGCGTAGAGATGACAGTAGTAATGCTTTCGTGTCGTCGGTGAGTCGTCTTGCCCGCCAATACCATTTAGCTCTCAGATGCTGAACGAAGCCTTGCTGCAGCCGATGTAAACGGTGGAACGGAGTGATTGTGTTTGTATTTGATGGTGGTAAATATACATTGAAGATTAGAGATGAATCAGGCAGATGTAACGAAATTGATGTCACGACTGAAGATTAAATATGCACCTGTTAGACGAAGATTAAAGAATATTGAGGGACCCGAAGGCAGGTTGAAGAAAATTCGGAAAACCCTTACGGCTCTTGTCAAACACGAACGCATTGAACTAAACTTCAACCGAGCCGATGAAACGAGAGGTTATGTGGAACGGGTAAGTACATTGCCTGTGACGTTAATTGTCCCCATGGTAATTTTTAGACACGCAAGAGTCATATTCTCATTAGTGACTGATTCGCAGTCACCTTCCAAAATTTAAAAACTACAAGTTTGGCGGTAAGGCACCTCATATTTCTGGATAGTAAAGAACTGTTGAAGTCTGTACTTTTCATATTTTATTCAGTCATGTCTTGTTGTATAATGTTCTAAGATAAGGCGTCCGGTAATTATAAAATACTCATACAAAAGCAGTTACTGCAATCGTATTAAATGCTTATAAAAGAGAATTGCATAGAAAATTGTCGAAGAATGTATATCCGTAGGTTTGTTGTAGTGTCTTTTGTCTTTGGACTATGTTTTCTCAGAGTATTGTATTTATAGCTTTTACTAAGATTATATTATGCTCAGACTAGTTCCATATCCTGCTTAACCGGGAGTAGTGGAGTATGTGTGTATGTGTTCGCATGCATGTTTGCTTGCATATTCATGAGTGTGAATTTGTATGTGTAAACGACTTTAAGAAAGAATTAGAATATAATTGTATTTCTAGAATTAATTCTGTCCAAATTTAGAAAAGGCTTTGTGGTTTGTTTCCTTGTTTTATGGCATGCTTGTGAATTGTATTCCTAAGTCACATATATACATATAATTTACAAAGGATACCATTTTTTCACTGGCAGCTGATCTCTGATGCTATCAGATATGGGGACTGCCACCGAGCAACAATGGAACTGGCAGATTACTGGCTACTGGAAAAACAGTTAATACACAAGTTATTCAAGGTGCTGGTGCCACGCTTCGAGAACTGCCCTGTCTCATATACTCGAATGTATCGAGCGCCAAACCTTCCTCCTGACAAGGGATATGAAAGGGCAGTTCTCGAGCTCAGAGGTGAGATTCAGGATTTATGTTTATTTTATTTTATTTTCAGTTATATAACTTTTGAAAGATGAATATATTGTAATCAACCTTTCATTTGTATATTTGTTAAGTTTGTTAAGTTGGATTTTAGGTTCTCACAGTGGTGACTACAAAGTACATGATCACCTGACTTGTAATGCTGTGTTGTTTGGTGGAAGCCCACAATTGTTTTGGAGGAATGTATAACCTTCATCCCCAGAGTTGATAAATAAGCCAAGCAAGACACCGGCAATAAGCAAATGGCTTGCTTGCTTATCTTCGCTGATTTTTAACATTGAAAACATTATACGAAGGTGCAAATGGAATGAAGCAGTATGTGACAGAAAATGTAACAATTTGTCCATAAGTAACAGAAATTATAACAATTTGTAATTATTGATACCATTGCTACTAAATAACTGAAGTTCTATTGTTGACTTTGTTACCTTGGAAATATTCTCAGTGAAGTGTAACAATTTGTGATTATTGATACCTTCACTACTAAGTAGCCAATCTGTTGTTGACTTCGTTACCTTGGAAATGTGCTCAGCGAGGCACATTGCAAGTGATAAATGCGAGCTTCTCAAAAATGCAACCCGTTTTGGTCCATCGCTTACAGTTTCGGAGTTACAATTTTTGTTTGTAACAAACAATGCTAATTCAGTTCCACCGTTTAGTGGATGACATAATACTGTAGGCAGGCTTCCAGCGTATGATGTCACACACTGATAAGATGCCCGCTGGTAATATTCGTGCTGCATATATGAGAGAGTACAGGAAAAGGAAGCTGTTAGAAGAAGATAATTGTAGTAATGTACCCAAACAAACCAAGTTAAATGCCGAACGACAGCATGAATGTAGAGAAACACATAATAACTTATCTGCTGAATTGTAACACACTATAGATTGCTGTAACTATAGCACCCAAAATAAAGTCCTCCATGTCTGCTTGCTAGTTGTTGCTCAGTAATGAATCTTACCTGGTTAACAATTCACAGCTAAATATTCAACTATTGAACTGTCATCTGAATTCTATTATGAATGAATGAATTCTCTTTTATAAGTTTGGAAGGACCGAATAGAAGCTATTTGTTTCCTTTATCCATTGTAGTGAAAACGCCTGGTGATCCCAAGATTCCTTGTATCCACAGAAACCTTTGCTGAATCTTTGTTAAAATGAGAATGAATTTTAGTGAGTCATTATCTAGCAAACAGACTTCTGCATGTTCGTTGCTATTCCGGCTTTCAGGCTGTGTTTACTGAAACGTTACCCAGCAAACTAAGGTTGGAGCATTTGGTACAACCCCCCCCCCCCNACCTTAGTACAAACTCCACAATATTACCCAACATTCTTAAATGTGGATAATGTACCCAAAGATACTTGTGAACCTTTTCACTGTTAATCCTGGGAACTAAGGTTCCCCAGTCATTTTGTTGCCTGCCTTAATCTTCAACCCTGAAGACCTGAAGAAGGAGGCAGTATTTTTCTCTAGAATGTTAGTAGAATTCTGCATGGTATTAAACCCAGAAGATAGTACTATCCTTATTTATGTATTTATATTTGTTTAATGATGCTTTCCATGGCTCAGATTATACAGGGGGTCCTAAAACATGTACTCACTCTTTGATAGTCAATATCTTTGGAACAAAATGACATGTAGTTACAATTCTTACATGGTAGTGTAGTGTAATGTTTTCTCAACAGATGGCGAAGGTCACATGAGTCACGTGAGTGTCGTGCCGCGTACTCGCTGTGAGCAGAAGACAGCAGCATCAATGGCTGGAAGGTTGTTCTTTGAGCTACGCAAGGCTATATTGAAGTGGTACTGGAAGTACGAAAACATTAAAGAGGTACAACTACAATGGCAGAATGAGTTTGGAACTCAGCCACCAACATGTCAAACAGTTGCCCGTATTCGGGATAAATTTGAAGCTGACGGTACTGTTCATGATGTGCATAAGCAAAGATCTGGGCGACCATGGATAATAACAAGCCCAACTTCCAGTGTTATGGTGTTGCAACACTTTACACCATCACCGCAAAAATCTGTGAATCAGTGTGCACACAAAAGTGGGGTAAGCCATTCAAGTGTACGGCGAATTCTGAAGGCTGCAAAATGGAAAGTGTACATTCCAAGACTGTTGCACACTATGAACGAGGACGACCTGGATCGAAGGCTTGAATACTGCGAGTGGATTGAAGGCATGGTTTGCGAGGATGAGGAGTTTGCAGGGAAAGTTACCTGGTCTGACAAGGTACAATTCAAAATGAAGGGTAATGTTAACCGCCACAATTGTGTGTATTGGGCTCCCGTAAATCCACACGTTCACGTGGGCAAGGAAGTGAATCTACCTGGTGTTAATGTGTGTTGTGGTCTGTCATCGCGCTGTTTGATTGGTCCTTTCTTCGTTGAAGGTACTGTAACTTGTCAGGTGTATCTCGATATGCTTGAGACATCGATTTTCCCTGCCATTCGAGAGCTGTTTGGAGATGAGAGATTTTACCTACAACAAGATGGTGCCCCACCTCACTATGATCAAGATGTCAGGGCGTACTTGGATGACACTACCTGGACGATGGATAGGTCAAAGAGGTGCTATTGAGTACCCACCACGGTCTCCAGACCTAACACCCCTTGACTTCTACCAATGGGGAACCTTGAAGGATGAAGTTTATCGACAAAAGCCAGCTACACTGAAGGCGCTGCGAGAAATCACCAAAGTGTCATGTGCAGCCATCACACCAGACACACTGACAGCTGTAGTTTGCTCAGCAGTTCGGTGGCATCAATGCTGTTTAGCCGCTGATGATGGTACTTCGAACACATACAATGACTGTCTCTCTCTCCATGCAAGAATTATAACTACATGTCATTTTGTTCCAAAGATATTGACTGTCAAAGAGAGTACATTTTTTTGGACCCCTCTATATATGAGGGTGCTTACTTGAGACAGAAATAAAAGTTGGGTTGATTATGTGATTTTGCTTCTAATAATGACAGAGAGTTAATGTGATGTATTTAGAAGACACTGCAGGTCCTCAGAAATGGTGATAACTTCTTAACGCCCAGTATGTCATCACATCCCGAAGACAATAATTTTGGTATTCACCACTTCAGGAACATATAGCTTGCGATATATTTAAATCATAATGGTATTTGCTTAGTTAACAAAATATAGTAATAAAAATCAAGAATCAGTCCATTATATTGTCTGTTTAAAGGAAAGGTAAAGTTGTCCCTGTGTGTAGCTAATTAAGCACTGTGCCATGAAGACCTATGGGGTTGTGGATGTATAGATCCACATTTTCTTGACCTCAGCAGTAGTTGGAGGTGAGAGGTCAGCTCTGTGCCCCAGACGTTGTACCCCTCTGGAAGGAGCCCCCTGTACACATTGGATAGGGGCTGGGTGGGCTCCAGAGCCGGTCAGGATGATGTGGAGAAGATAAAATTCTTGACCCTACTGGGACTCAATATTGTCTCTGTATGTGTATATATATATTAAATGTTGTTATTGTTGTTATGATGTGATATTTCAGGTAACCCATATCCGCCACTGCTGCCAGACACAACTGCCAACAGGAATCTAATACATAATGTTTTGCTGGATGAGGCTCACAAGGAATTCAGGGCACAGAAATATGCAGAGATTGCAAAGAAACTGGAAGAGGCTGATGAGAATATGACCAAGTCCCCCAGTGATGTTGCTGCAGAATCCTCACAAGAGAGTGAGACAGAGTCCTCAGAAGAGGCAGAAGGACAGGTGCCAGATGAGAAGATGGCACAACTGTCAAGAGAGAAAGGGGAACAGCCACCAGGTGAGAAGGTGGCAGAACCCAGCAAAGAAGTTTAATAATTGTTGGGATTTATAGCTTTAGTTTTGTGAGAATGAAATCAACTATTTGGATGAAGGTCCACCTGGTAGGAATGGGGCACAGCCCTGTGAAGTTTTGCAGGTTGTTAGAAATATGCATCAGAGTTGATATCTTTGTATTGCTGTTTATTGATCTATGTTGTTTATGTATATATAAATACCAGAATTATGCTTAAGATCCTGATTTTTGTTCCTCATGAATCCACCTGCTGCACTGTCATAACTTCGTGGTTGTTCATGTGGTATATTCAAAAACTACTTGGTTTGAATCTCAATTCCAGTTGGATGTCCCAGTTTCTCCCATTCACTAGCTCTAGTCAACGGGCAAAATAATATTCCCATCTTATTCCTTTCCGGGTGCATGTGGCAGTATAGTTAGTTGAGGCACTGTGCTACAAGCCGGAAGGTCACAGGTTCGAGTCCCGATGAGGTGGGTTTTTTTTTTCTTTTCAAATTACCTAATCCTTCCAGCTGCACTATGGCCCTGGTGTCAACTCAGCCTCTAACAGTCTTTTTTTCCGGGGGGTTAAAGGACAGCCAGCATGTAAGGCTGACAACCTTGCCGCCATCTATGAACCGATTGTGTAGAGAAAATGTGGGAGCCTCGACATCTCACAACCCTACAAGTTTCCTGCCTCTTGTATAAAAACCTGAAGATTAAAATATATAAAATTATAATTTTACTTGATGTTGATTCTGCCCTGTGTGAACATAGACAATGTTACTAATGTTTCGGAGTTTTATACTGTCTCCATCTTCAGGGTCAGTGCATAGGGTGGATGAATGTACATGTATGTATTGGTCCACCACATATAGGGAGGAATGGTGAGGGTGGGGGCTGGTGCATGTTCCTGACCAATGTGGACAGTGGACATTAATATTGAGCCTTCATGAAAGCCTAAAATCAGTAACTATAATTTTACTCGTTGCTTTATTTTGGTGTCAAACTTTGATCTCTTAAAATAAGAAAAAATCTAGATCCATGAGGGTGTTTGCGAACAGTGCCGAAGAAAATGTTTTGAATGTAAGAGGGAGGAAGTGGCAGGTGGAGAAAACTGTATGATGAGAAGCCTCATGAAATATTGTTAGGGTGATTAAAATTAGGATGAAGTAGATGGGACATTTAGCACATATAGTCATACAAAATTTAAGGAGAAGAAATTTCTAATGAGACAGGTGTATATGGGAATGTATTATTAAAATTGACAATAAAATGGGGGAGAGTGTGGACTGCATTTGCTGAAGATTACTGTCCTCTTGGATGTGACGCCGAGTAGTGTGGTCGATATTTACTGACATTTGTAATATATATTTTGCCTCCATCTTCAGGGTGAACAAAGGTGTGGATATTTAGAATGGGGCTATGAGCAAACCAATAGGAGTAAGAGGAATAGTGTAAAGAATCTATGAGAACCTCAATTCTTGGATGGATAGGGTCCGTTGATAGGCTGTTCTATAAACTACGAGCTTTCGGGGCCCGTAAAAGACGAGGAATTTCATAATAAACGGAGTTGCTGTCAGTCTCTCAGAGACTGTTTTAAATGGAGCTGTCATAGTTGGATGTGAGGTTCCCACAGCAGTGACTGAAGAGTTACGTCATCCGGAATATAATGACATGCAGTCCGATAAAAATCAACCAGTATTTCATAAGAACATCGCCTCCATCTTCACGCTAGCTTCCTTTTTTGGCTTACTCTTCGACCCTGAAGATGGAGGTGATATGTTCGCTCTAAACCGTTGACTCTCATCGGACTACGTGACGTACTCCAGACGACAGAACTCTTCGAATTAATTCAGGGTTTTATAAATGTCAGGTAAACCGAATCTTGGAAGTTTTTATTTCTGGTTGGATCCTACCCGATCCCTACCAAGCAGACCGATACACAGCGAGTCTGGCGTACCTCCACTTAACGAGCAAATTAAATTGCATGGCGAGGAGTGCAGCTGTGGCCCTCCTGGTTCCCTGTGGGACCCTATCGATCCATAGCGCTCTGCCAAAGTGTTGATTGCAAGAAGCAATATGGCTCTCCCAGAAATGACAAGTAGAACGTAGGAAATCTTCTATCATTTTTAAATGTCTTACCTACCGGTTCTTAACCGCAAATCTTGCCGAAGTGTGATGTGGGCAACTAGGGATAAATATCTTAGGAAAGAACGTATTTCCGGATATGCCGGCTGACGCAAGAAAAAAAAAACGCTCTTTCATTTAAGCGTAATAATACGAGTACATAGGTCTGTGGATTGAATGAGTTATTCGGACCTTTCTTAGTAAAGGTAAAGTTGTCCCTCAGTTTAATTAAGCACGACGCCATGAAGGCGTATGGTGAAGTGGACGTATAGATCCACATTTTCTTGATATTGTCACTAGTTGGACGTGAATGGTAAGCTTCACGCTCCGGCCGCTTTACCCCCGGGGAAAGCCCGGAGGATAGGAGGCTGGGTAGGCCCCAGAGCCGGCGAAGAAAAAATTCTTGGGACTCGAACTCCGACCCCTCTGTTATCCAGCCCGTAGCCAGTCGCTATTCGGCTCCTCCGTTTCTTAGTATAAATATAAGAGATTTCACGTGAATTAGTGACTGTAGACGAGTTTTCGATTGGATGATTGAATTTATTGCACCTTATAGATTCACACAGTTCGGGACTACAGACAATATCGCGCTATCTCTGATTTACACATTAGAAAGTTCAACGTTACACACACACACTAGGATTCTCAGTCTTCAATAGTCGTATCCTGGCATCGGATTTATAACAGTCTCCCTATCACTTCAAATCACATATGAAGTTCTCTGCACCGCCTAATTCCTTTCTTGACATTTCTGCAGCTGCAAATTCTGAAGGCTCGACTCAATTCAATTTCAAACTCATCCTGGTAGGCTGGCGTCCCGAAACTGTACTCTTCACTCTCGACCAGTGTTCTATACTCGGTCGCGTCTTCTGTGTCCTTTTGTAACTCATCGGCACAGATCCCATGGAAACCCAGTCTGTATTTTTGACGAGGCATGTTTATCGCGCTGTTGCCTGGCAATAGACGTCCTATTGTCGCGCACGTTGGCTCTCGCGGAAATGTGTTTTCCTAGACGTTGCCTTACAATGTGTATACACGTCACAGTATTTATTTAATTTGGTTCATTCGTTACAAAGGAAAACAGTTTCATCGCCGTGAAAACTTCAGAACTTGTAGGTTACCTTGGAATTGAAGTTCTCACAAACGTGACAGGCTTCTTGTTTGTAAGACCGTGTAGTCCGGAAAAATCGTCTTAATCTTCAGGGACGAAGCGTAAGCCAAACAGAAGGACAGAAGAAGGCTGTAAGCTGAATCTTGGTATTCTTCAACCCCGAATATGGAGGCGATATGTTCCCCGAAACTTCGGAATTTCTCCGAATTAAATGGCGTTATAATCCGGAAGACCGCATTCTTTACGATTTATCAACTTTCGATGTTGCCTGCACACGAGACAATAGCCATGGCTATGTACCACTTGAAACCAAGAAATATTCATACCTTTCATGCGTAAGGAAACCGTGTAGCTGAGTTCCCTTCATTCTGTGGGTTTTCTTTGAGTAGATGCGCAGTTCTGTTCCTGTTCCACATGGAATTTCAAAATAAAATATCACAGACAAGTTATTCGCTTCTGGCGGGTGGCTGTTTAAGTCTTGTTTCACCCCTTGAGCCGATGAAATCAAGCACAGACAATTACTGAGCAGAATTGGGAACAATGGAGGAAACGCGATCGGTTGTGACGAGAGGGGCAGGGAACCGTGAAATAGTGTCCAAATAGAACAGGGGATATTGTACAAATTCCGTTCTCTTGGGATATTAGGACAATTCCCAGTAACTGGCTTCTAGGAGCATGTAACATCAAGAGACGTGAAATTGTGTGGTGGTGTGTACGGTTTGATGTCTGGGTCAATTCTGAGACCTTTAATAGTAGAACTGATAATTAAGCTACATTTTAATAACATCCTATTTACTCCTAGGTTTCCCAAATGACACCTTCCGTTAGCTTTACCAACCAGAATTTTGTATGCACTTACCGTCAGGTAAAGTTGCTCCTGCGCTTAACTAATTAAGCACTACGCCATGAAGGCGTATGGGGGAGTGGATGTATAGATACACTTCTTTTTACGTCGGCATTAGTTCGAGGTGATTGGTCAGCTTCACGCCCTTGCCGCTTTATCCCCGTAACCCATTGGATAGTAGACTGAGTGGGCCCCAGAGCCGATCTGGACGACGTGGAGAAGAGAAAATTCTTGACTCTACCGGGAGTGGAACTCCAATCTCTCCGTCGTCCAGCCCGTAGCCAGTCGCTATATCGACTGCTATCCCGGCTCCGTTTGCATCTCATAATTTTGTCTACGTAATAACTGAAGGGCCGGTCACGGTAGCCCAGAGGTACAAGGCATTCACTGTCTTCGCTTGCTCGGCAGCTGGGATCGTGGGTTCGAATCCCACTCAGGGCATGGATGTTTTGTGTATGCGTTTTTCTGTGTTTGTTAACAGGTAGAGGCCTTGCAACAAACTGATCAGCCGCCCAAGGAGTCCTACCGAATGTCTAAGATCTAGTAAATCGAAGTAAAACGGGAGAATTTCATGGAACTAGGCCCAAGCCTAAATTGGGGCTGTAGCTCCAAAAGAAAAAAAAAAGTAACTGAAGAGTACAGACTGTGAAGTCCCTCGTAATACCGTTTCTGCAGCTGCCATTACACCGCCTGTATCTTGGGGAAACTCTACGTACATGCAAGCATATCCCATATTGTCTGTCAAAAACATCTTCGAAAGTACGTCGTTCTTGTTCAGTTAGATGTCGGGTATGTCGATTTCTGTTGCCATCATGTGTTTCTAATCACCAGCACACACAGACAGTAAAACTGATGATTTGATGATCGGTGTCACTGTTTGATGATGATGTGCCGTCAGAGATGTTTCATACAAAATGCAGA